AATAAATAAATAGATACAGTCCCCCGCAGAGGGGGGGTGGAGGAGGGAATAAAAAAAAAAATAAAAAAAAATTTATTTGAAAAAATCTAAATTGTAAGATGTCTTATTTCCTCCAAAGACACATAACCTAAAATTGAAAGACGCTTTTTTCCTTGGGTCTCAGGAGGATATATTCCTCCATGGCCATCCTCTGTGGTGCCAAAAGAGAGTAAAGGCTCCCCCTAGGGGGACTAGTGCCCGGAAGCAGGTCAATAGCACAATCGTACGGTCGATGAGGTGGAAGGGACGAGGCTCGGGACTTACTGAAAACCCCTTTAAGGCACTTTGAGAAAGGTCAGGAACTTCTTCAAGAATAGGGGAACCCCCCGGAGTTAGAGCTGAGCGCCGGCACTGGGAATGACAAGAAGGACTCCAGGCGACGATGATCCCCTTCTACCAGAGGATTGTGCCCGAGTAGCCAAGGATACCCCAGTACTAAAGGAGCTTGGGTGAGTCTATGACATAAAAAGATATCGTTTCTACATGATTACTCGATAGACGGAGACTCACCGGGATGGTGGTGCGAGTCACAGTTGCCATCTGTCTTCTGAGGGATTGAGCCACCAGAGGTGCCTGGACAGGAGTGGTGGGAATCCCCCACTTCTGGACCAGAGCGGCGTTGATGAAACTGGCTTCAGCTCCTGAATCAATGAGGGCGGCCAGTGATTGTCGCTGTAGCCCCCAGGACACCTCTGCAGGCAGAATGGTTCTTCCTTGGGAAGAGGGCAGAACTGCGGCCACGCAGTACCCTCTTCTTCACTGGTGGACGCGTCCTTTTATCAGACATGAAGCAGCAAAATGACCCTGCTGCCCACAGTATAAACATGCCCTGGAGGCCATACGACGTTGTCGCTTGGCTGGAGTGAGAAAAAGCCTGATCTAAATCTAGCTTACTAGTAATGTAAGAATTGCATGTGCTTAACATGCGATGTTGGTATTAATATCACACATCACCCAGCCCTACACACTACTACAGGCATTTTTCAAATTCAGTACAAAATACCAGTGGAAAACTTGCATCTTGAAGTACCAAAAGTACAGTACGGTACCTGGTGCAGTGGAAAAGCGCCATAGCACAACCAGGTTTTTGTATGATTTTTTTCCCTAAAAAATTTTGCAATATAGGTGGAATAAATTGTAACATGATTTGTCTTGGTTTAATTTTTTATCACAATAAAACCTGCCATTATGGCAGTACTGTGCAGACTTTCTATAGCAGGGGTGCCCAACTCCAGTCCTGGAGGGCTGGAGTCCTGTGTAGCTTAGTTCTTTCCTTGTTCCACCACAGATGATTCAGCTCAAGAGCTGTGTGGTAATTAGCACAAGGAGTTGAATCAGGTGTGTTAAATGAGGGGAAACCCAAAAATGTGCAGGGCTCTGGCCCTCCAGGACTGGAGTTGGGCACCCCTGTTCTATAGCATGCAGACTTTCCACTGTAGCTCATGAGTTTTAGCCACATAATAGGAGATGGTCCTCCTCATGCAGTCAAAGACAAACCAGCGCTTCTTCCACGACTTGATTTTACCACCCATCTTGACCAGGTAGCCCTTGTACATCTTCTCGGTGAGCATCAAGTCATAGCAGCTGGTGAGGTTATGGCCAGTGGACTCAATGTGCGAGGGCTTGCAGTTGGGCAGGCAGCGGGTCATGGGGCGCGCCTGGAAGTGGAACGCAAGGGCCTGCCGGTTACGGGCAGGTGCAGAGATCTGGCGTGTCACTCACAGCCATGGCTGCCAAAGGCTCACTTCTCACACTGCTAGCTGTGACCTGTCATGCCCCGCTCGTCTGAACCTCTCGTGTGCCACGCCCCCTCGTTAACTTTGTGTGGATTCCCTGTGTTCATCAGCTGTTTCCTGTTGCTATCATTAGTTCAATGTATTTAGTCCGCGTTTCAATTTGTTTCCCCAGTCCGGTCATTAATGTTGTAGCGTCAGTCTGTATCTACTTGCCTTCCCTTTTATTAAACCTCGTATTTTCCCTGATTCCTGACGTTCTGCTCCTTTGTCTGTGCTTTGTGCACTGTGCCACATGACAGAATGACTGGACTCTCTTCTAAGAGAACTCGCCTGACAGAGGCCAAATCTCTCAGCCTCATAGACGAGACGATACACTGGATCACCCAGCCCTAGGTGAAGAAGGACCCCACAGTGCAAGCCCTTGCTATCCGTTCATGGGAGATCCTGGAGCAGATCTCCCCGTCCGATGACTCGCCCCTTACGGAAGAGGTGCGAGCCAACTTGCAGAGGCTGTGTAGCAGAGTGGCAGACGTCATGATCCAGCAGGTTCACTTGGAGAGTGGACTGCCTCTCCCCCCACCGTCCGGACAGCACAAACTCTCCGTCGCCCCTGCTGTGTCTGCTCGTTGGAAAGGACAGAGGAAACGCGGAAGGGCAGATCCCTTGGGGATCCACAAGTCCCACTTGCTTCCCCATGGCCCTTAAAGGGACATACCCTACTGTACTTGACCCCGCGGTGTTCATTGTGCCTGGGTCACTAGCCTTCGGTCCCAGCCAGCTGACTCCCGAAGAGCCTGATCCTGGTGCACCGGCTCCAGAAACGCCTTTCCTCCTCCAACCTGTTCCAGAGGCGGAGTTCCAGGTAGGCTCGATTTCCCTTCCCTCAGTCTCCACAACCCACGCCTTCATGCTACAGAGGAGGGAATTCCCCAGATCCCCAAGTTCCCCAAGAAGGGGGCGCCAGCTCCAACCCCCGAGGCTCGCCCCGCCTGAGGCTTCGCCTGCGCCCGAGTTACTAGTTACTTCTTCCAAAAAGTAACCGAGTTAGTAACTGAGTTACAGCATTATAAAAGTAACTAGTTACCAGAGAAAGTAACTTAAGCATTGCATTTTTTTTAAATGTTCAAATATGTCAAAAATGTGGATGGATGGATGGATTGTCTGCCAGTAGACTTACCTTGGCCTTGTCCATCCTGTCCAGTGTCCACAGCCAATGTAATTTGAACTTGGGCAGAGTCACAGCAGCCGACAGCATCCTCACTTTCCAACACCTCTGAAAATCTTATTTTGATTGCCTTGAAAGATACATAAGAATTTAGATTATACTATTGTCTGTCTACACACACAGCATTATACATTATTATGAACATATTTAATAATGTCATTTTACATAATTGTTTTTCATAATGTATGTTAATTTAAATGTGTATGATGATGGACCTACAAAGCCTATACAGCAAAAGGTCCATCATCTCTAGTCAGCTTAATCTGTAAATAACAGAATAAGGAAACTATATACATTTCCCATCCATCCAAATTAATAAAGTGCAATTGTTGCATAATTGGTTAAAGATATAAATTAAATAAATTAAAGTTCTTACCGTGACAACTGCCTCTGGAAGGTCAGCTAGGATTTGGAGGCCACTGTTCTGTTCCATGGTCCTGAACATTAGTGTCTCCAGCGTGGGTAGAAGTGTGCAATGGAAACAGTTGCCTTCTCCCTGAAGAATGTCTAAGGCCTCAAGTGCAGTACTCCATGATGAACTGATGTTCCCGTTCTGTGATGGCTGTCAACCCCACCTTAGAGGAGATGGTGTTCAGCTCGACCATAGGAATGTCACAGATTCGAGCCAGGGCATCATAAAATGAATTCCATCTCGTAGTGCAAGAGACTAGCAGCTTCTTTGAAATAACATCATCCACGGTCTCTGTAGCCACCATTGAAGGACTTGCCTTATTCCATAAGTCTGTGCATTTGGTGGTAGCTCTTATGTATATCGCTTTTGTTTCTGGTCTTGACAGTAACCACTTGTCAACATCAGTACATGAAACAAAGTTAAATGTGTGTGATGCACATCTCTGATGTGGCGGCAAAGTAATCACATGACCACCATCATCATCATTCTCATCACCAGCACTATTTTGCAAGACATCATTAATGTTTGTAAAAGTCACCTCATCCTCGTCATCCTCAGAGTCGTCCTCCTCGACTGGCTGGTACCTTTTGAAGGCCTTGACGAAATTAGAGCCATTATCCGTGACAGTTGATGTGATTTTGTGGGATATGCCATCATGAGTGAATGTTGTCAAGCTCTGCTGCGATACTGTCATGAGTATGATGACCCTTGAATCTTCTGCATGCCAGTGCTGCTTTCCCTCACTCCATGCTGTGTAGATTTTAGAGCCCGACCGATAAAGGATTTTGAAGGCCGATACCGATACAAATATTTGTTGGTTTTAAAACCGATATTCCGATATATCGGCCGATTATATATATATTTTTTTTTTTTAAATTTCAGAAACACGCAACAAAACATTAACAGATTTCCCTAACATTAGTTATTTGTAGTTATTTATGAGTTTTAACTAACATAATATGATAATGCATTTTAAAAAGAAACTTGTTTCTTTTATTGTCACAACAGAACAGAGGAACATCAAAATATAATTTTTGATTAAGTTCTGATAAATAAAATGTATAAAAAATAAAAATACAAACTTAAGATATGAAACGTAAAGTCCTTTGAACAAAAACACAAAAACAAGAATAACCAAGTCAAAGTTACCAGTTTTAAAAGACTTGGTAAGCTTCATAAATATAACTTTGAATAGCACAAGCAATAGAACTTTTATGCACAAGCTACGTTTGATACTT